CCCATCCTGACATCGCTCTGGGGGCTCCAAGGGGAATCCAGGCAATCCAGGCCCATCCTGACATCGCTCTGCGTGCTCCCTCCCTCAGGGCTGGGTGATCCTTGAGCTCCCTCCCCAGTTAAGCCCTTCTGGGATTCCACGATGGTTCTGTGACCTCTCTCACGCTCATTTTCCACCGTGTCCTTCTTTCTGCTCCCGGCTGATGGAGCCGCCGGCGTTTGAAAGAGCTGGAGGAGCTCTGGGACACGGGGCAGCCCTGCTGCTCACCGAGCTGTTTGCGATAACATCTCCCATCACATTCCATTTATTCCCCTTTTTTTGTTGTTATTGGTCATAGTGATTATTATTGGAGCTAGAGAAATAAACAGGAATGCAAAATTGAAAAATAAAGGATGAAAAACTTCTTCTGTGGTGCATTTTTTAGAGAAACTCAATTTGATTTTGTAGGGGCTGTGAGTCACCTAAAAGTCTGAAATTTCAATATGAGCAGGAGAGAAAACTCTTGAGGGCTCACTGGATGTGACAGACCTGGGCAGGTTCAAGAGTGACACTGGGAACTCCTGGAGTGGGTGAGGAATGAGGTTTGTGCCAGGACCAGCACAGAGCACAGAGCACCATGGTTTATCCTGTAAGGCCCTACAGGGGCTAAATCCCAGGTAAAGTCCTCGTTCAGGAAATGGGAGTGAGTTCCACATTGTGACATTCCCTACTGTTCACTACTGCCTGCCTCAGTTTACCTCAAAAAACATCATTGTCTTCTCTACARATTACCGAATTTTATCCTTAAAGGTTTCCCTGTACGTGCACTACTGATTACCTCAGTTTACTTCAAAATGTTCATTCTCTGCACTATAGATCCCCTCATGTCTGCTCCAAAATTCTTCCCTGTCTGTCCACTTTTTATTAATTCATTTTTGATCCAAAATGTTCATTTGATGCCGCCCCAGCCGAGCCCGAGCGCCCGAATGCCCGAGCGCCCGAATGCCCGAGCTCGAGCTCGAGACCGAGCCACCCGCTGTCCAATCAGCGCTGCGATCGCCTCACGGCTCTCGCCAATCCCGAACCGGCCGAAGGTATTTAAGAGCCAATGCCTGAGGCGGGAATTTTGTTATTTTCGGGAGCTGCTCTCGTCTGTTTCAGTGAGGTAAAAACATTGTTTATTGTATCTATTTATGGCGTATGGAAATTGGAGTGATGTTTCAGTGTGTGWTGTAAAGCCATGGCAAGGATGAGAATCTGTTGATCTCTGGGTTTGCCTTGGTATCCTAGGGCCTCTATCCATGCATATTTTGAGGGGAATATTTTCTGAATCGGTTGTGAACTGACCTTAGTGCTGAATTAATGTTTTTTTGCTCATTTCATGTCTATTCTAAGCCTTAGGTGCATTTCCTGTGGGGTGGGACAGTGCTGAGGGCTGCTATTGATGCTGGGAGAGGTAATTGCTTTGCAGAACTTTTCTATAAAACATAACTATACCAAATAATTGAGTTTCTACGATAAGAACAGGACTTATGCTCCCAATAAAGAAAGAATTGGGGTGTGTTGGGCAGGGAGTTGGAAGCACAGAGGTTTTCCTGCCTTAATTCCTCCAATCATTGTCTGTTTGGAACAATAATTTAATTAACTTGAGCTGCATCACTGATGATATCCTGAGAGCATAACAGGGAGCAGAACTTGGGTTCGAGTGTGTTGAAACAATGCCAGGGAAACATAAATCTCTCAGAAAATAGCATAAATAATATATTATAATGTCTTTATTTCAATCAAGTGCCTGTCGCTACAGTGGTGAATACGCAGCTGTCCTCACTGAGATCAAACACAGGTGATGCACTGACACTCCTGGGTTAATGTTAATTATTGCCAGTGATTTCAATTGGGTTCCATTGCAGTGGATCTGTACTGAAAAGCTGTGTTAATGTTAATTATTGCCGGGTGATTTCAATTGGGTTCCATTGCAGTGGATCTGTACTGAAAAGCTGCGTTAATGTTAATTATTGCCAGGTGATT